TTTATTTGCTTAACTTATTTGACTTCAATACTTTTTCTTGCTATTAATAACAGTGTTGGTTATGTAACTGTACAAAAAATTACTGTTGAGTAGACAAACATAAATTTTACTTCTTTTGCTAAATTTTCAAATAGAGTATTAATATCCAATTGTCATTTTTTACATATAAGCTAATGTAACATGCCAAAGTTCTTCTAAACCTTCAAAAAGTGTTAAATGGTATAAGGACGAAGTTTTATCAGAGTTATGTAATAAAAAAAAAAACATATCAGTCTCCTCAAAACTAAAGTTGAAACAAAACATGAAAACGAAATCTCCTTAGAATTCATATACTGACATGGAATATAAAAGCATTTAAAACTTTTGCAATCAGTACAAATTTACTTCTTTAAAAAACTTTAATGTTCAACTCTTTATAATTTGCATACAAAGATTATTTGCAGTCTTACCAGTAGTCTGGTAAAACTGCATATAATCTTTGTATGCAAAAGTACTCCACCATTAGTCTCGTACAACTGCATATCAACTTCATATAAACTTTGTATTCGAATATGCTTTAAAACCAAGGACATTATGTTTTACGAGAAACACCTTTATAGATCTTATCGAATTTACATTAAGACATTTTTTTGATTTCTTTAAATCAACAACAGAAAAAGATATTTCTGTCTATTCTGAGGCTGTATAAGGTTTCAAAATATGCCGACGCACTGTGGGGTATTTGATTGATTTAGGCGGCCAAAAATATTTAATAATCTTTGATTAAAAAAACTTTAACATTTTTTAGGAAAAGCTGGTAGAGAAGACAAATAAAAAGAGAAAACAAAAGATTTTAAAAAAATTTATCGATGATAGACTTCCCCCCTCCTTCCCACAGCTTTTTTTTTTTTCACACTTTTCTATAGCATAAATATGATAAGAACCTATTTTATATGGTTCTTACCATGATATAAATCTATTATATATGGTGGATAACTTTTCTTCCTCTCGGAATCAAAAATCAAAACATCGCGATTTTTGTTATCTTAATGTATTCGGAAGTACTTGCAATTACTATATAACTCTTATAAAGCTATGGTAAATAAAAAAAAAAATCTTTATAGCTATTTATATTTTAACACAAAATAACTGCTAATAAAAGGATGATGCCGAAAGCTAAATTTCTTCATCAGAAGACATCCCTGATTGCTCTGAAGACATTCTTGATTGCTCTAAAGATTTCTCCTTTGTGTCAACAATATTAGTAAAATTAGAAAGTTCAGCTGGAGGTAGCATCTCCTAGGTTTCTTTTAAGAATGGTTTAGAATTTTTTTTTGGTAATTTTCTCTTGCCAGTTAAAATAGGATCTGAGCGAATTAGTAATCTATTAAGAACGTTGAGGTTGCAAAACTCTCTGGAAAATTTTCTAGCATTGTTTTGACGGTAAAGACGAAAATATTTATTTCGTGCTACAGCTGCTTCTTCAGATAGCTGACCAATAGGAAGCAAAGCATGCTCTATTACAATAAAACCATGAATAAGGATTTTATGCATTGTAGGAGTCATCGGATACCATTGGTATAACTGGACATATAATTCCGCAGTTTTTACAGTATATCTTCTAAATTTTTCGACATCTATTTTATGTTCACTAGATATTGTTTCTAATATTACTTTAAGGCGATATATTAGGTTATAATCTATATAATATTTCAGCTGCCAACTCTGGGTCTGCAAAAAATTGTCGGCTAGTGTTGCCATCATTTGAGTTACCAAATCCAGGCTTAGGTACGTCTACAATTAAATCTATTTTTTTTCTAAAATTTGATTGTATTTCTAGTTTTTTTTGTTTGACAATTAATTTTTTATTTTCTGATCTCGCTTGCCATTTTTTAATAGGTAATTTATAAGATAGATGCAATAAATTTTCAAATATTCGGATCCTGGCATGCAAAATTGATAACCCAAACTTCAGTGTATCTGGTTTGACATCTTTTTCAGTAGTCAAGTTATTAAAATCTTTTGATGTTGCATCACAAATATAGCATCTTATAGTTGAAGCTGTTTTAGTGGCTGCGTTACACACCTTAGCATCAACCATAGTGAGCATCATACTATGTTTAACTGAAAATAAATTTACAGACAATAACGTGGCGAAGAAGGAGTTGGATTTTGCCAGATCAATCTGTTGTTTTTAGTACAAATTAATTGAAGCGGTACAATAGAATTCTGAAATATATTTGCATCAGAATCGGCGTCATTCAGAAATTTCTGTTTATGTTGATTTTGCTGTGATCCGTCACAGCCCTATTTACAATTTAACATTAATGAACTTCTTTCTTTTTCGTTCAAATTTTCTACCACTTCTTCTAAATACATGACCAATTGTGTAACGGTATGGTCCAATAAATCTTGTAAATTGACTGCGATACAAGTTTCAGTGACAAAATAAGATTCCTTATTTGGATAACAATCTACTTTTGTCTTTTGCAGGATACTATAGCAAAAATATAATGTTTTACAAGAACTTCTAACAATTTCATATTGTCTTCTGGAAAGACCAGCTTCTACAAACATGGCCAGTGCACTTAATACCGATAGCTGTGATTTTTTTTCCTGTAAAACGCTAGAGTATGCTATCTTATACATTTTTGCCGCTTTGGGGAGTGGATAATGTCCTTTAAAATTTTTGATGCATTTTTTTTCCAGTAACACCTAATTCCACATGAGCAACACAAATCAATGTTTCTGAACTTGTGGTAGCACGTATGTTTTCTATTTTCCTTCTTTTGCTTCTCTCGCTTAATTCTTTAAAATTCTTCGTTGGCCTACCCCCTTGATGCAGTACTGCAGGTATTGCAATATTTCCATCTAGCCAATCACTGTTTTTTTTTAAAACAAACTTTTATCCCTCTTTGCTATTGACCATCTTTGTTTTAACTCGTAACTAAATTGCGATAAACTATGTTTTACTTCTTTTATTTGTTCGTCTGAGTAATTATCTTTTACTAATACGTAATTTTCTAAAAATAATAATTTCTCATTCATGTTTGATAAAATTTGGCTCTGCATTAGATCATATAACATTCTTCGGGTCGTTTCCCTGACATCTGACGAACCTATTATAAACTCCGTTTAAAATTAAAATATGAACATAAAGTTTAGTGTTTTTTTTATTAAATAAATTATTTTATAGTTTCGATAAAATATATCATACTAATCGTAAACCTTTATTTAAAAAAAGTTAACCATTTACTTTCTTTAAAGTACACAGAGAAAAAAAGAAAAAAAAAGAGAAAAAAACATTTATAGAGAAACAACAACCCCCCTGGTCTTTTCCTAACATACACTTAGGAACAGGAAAAGTGAATAAACAAATACGGAGAACAAAATGGCAAAAAATGGCCGGTGATTTTTACATATCATCGAAGTCAAAACCTTAGCCTATCTGTTAATAAAAAAACATTAACCTGGAAATGCTTGGAAGTATTACTAATTACTTATAGTTTGCAGTGAAAATTGCAAAAAACAAGAGAAAGAAAAGAGTTTTTACAAAACCAACAAACTTATATATAATCACAAATAAACTGATTAAAACTTTCCAAATGTATTTACCTTTACCAACTTCATTAGAATTCATCACAAAACACTTTGAGATATACTTTGATTAAACTTTATTTGATGCTAATAAATGCTTAAAAAATAAGCGACCAAAAGAAAACGCGTAGACAATAATTAATGATCAACTTTGTATATATCCTACTGCGTGTTGTTAAAACCATTTGCGGTTACTTAATGTTTTTAATATTCACTAACTATTCAATATTGCTAAAATAACTTTTTAAATTTATTATGGAAGTTCTGAAAAAATTTAGTTTTGGCCGCCAAAATCAACCAAATAAAGTGTGACGGGGGGATTGAGAAACCTTAGACCACCATTTTTTAATTTTTTCAAAATAAAATATAAAAATATATTCCAATATTTTTTTCACATCCCATAAAAAAACCAGCGACGAAATTCTTGCACATTGCATCACACTGCACCGATATTCCAAATCATCACTTTTATAAAAAGTCATGAAGTTATACTGAAAAAATGAAAAACCTCAAAATAAACTAGTTAATAAGATTAGTTAGAAAAAAATACGAAATATTTTTAATTAATACTTTTTACAAAATAAATGCTGTTTCTTATTTTAAATTAATTCATACAAATCAATGTTGTCAGCGTTAATTTTGAATTAATTTAAGAAAACATTTTTTTTTTGCGTCCTTGAAGTTTTTGCAGCAATTTTTGCGACTGAAAAAGTAGGATCTGCTCCGTTCCACTAGCTCAAGCAGTTTTGTTGACGCATTGCTTCATCTCAAATGCTTTACATATATCAAGTTCGCTCTTGATATATATAAAGCATTTGAGATAAAAAGGATAAGACAATTTAGGCAATAACTAATAATAAAAGTAATTAATAATAAAAAATTAATGAGAAGGCTGCATCTCCAGAATTGGAGATTATTGTAAACAAACTGTTCAAGAATACTATCAACAGAAATACTGTTGCTCAAACTTCAACTTTTAATCGTTATATTTCTTTATTTTTAGAAAGAGTAGAATTATGGGTAATGCATTTCTGTGGTGATTTGAATGAAATAAAGAGTGTTTCCTATTTTCTTTGAGAAATTTTTTGTTTTAAACAAAAGCAAAAAAAAGACAAAAAGAGTACAATAAATTAGTATTTTCTAGAGACATTTAAAAGTTTATATAAATTAGGAGCGAAAGAGAAGCAAGAACTGATCTTTTTAGCTTTATTAGGCCACTTTTCTTATTAGGCCACTCACGCTAAAAGGTAAAAAAAATTCATTTCAACATAATACCTAAGTAGTAAAATAAAAATAAAAAATCAGACCTAGAGAACAATTTACCCTCGCAATCACTCTGGTAAACAATAAAATGTAATGTATAAAATTAATCGTGTTTACAAATTAGTCTAAATAAAGAAGAAATACGTCATAGAATGAAAAAATTTTTCGCATACTGTATATGTTTACGTTCAAAAAAACCAACATATTTTACATTTTTATTTTTGAAAAGCCATCTTTCAAAAAATATTACAAACAAACTATCATTTTATATAATTTATAAATGAAAGTAAATAATAGCATTTAAACGTTCAAAACATTTTGAGAATAAAATTCTTTAGCTTTTTTTTTCTTGTCATAACGAGGTAAAACATCAACAGATACAATATTCGATATATCAGTATTACTCGAACTTAATATAAATTCTTCAGTTTTCTTTACCATTTTCAATTTTTTCCATACTACTTGCATTTTCAAGGATTTTGGGATTTCGAAACTTTTTATGTGCTTCCATTTACAAGAATGTAGAACATTCTCTTCAAACTTAAAAATATTGAGACAAAACAAAACAATAAAAATTAAAAGATTATATTAAACTAAACATCATATTTTAATATCAATTTATTTATTTGTTTAACTACATAAAAAAGAAAACTTCAATTTATAGCTTACCAATAATAATTTTTTTTCGTTATCAAAAAAATATAATTTAAAAAGAGGCGATTGCCAATTAGAGAGTAAGGTTCAGGATCACGAAGATTACTCGCTACTGATAACATGTAACCCAGTACTACCTAACCAATGACCTGCTACCTTGTTGAACTTACTTTACTAGGCAAAGACTAGTGAGAAACAAACTCTGACTTAAAATTTCCCTGCCTTGGGGCTCTTAGTTGAGTAAACAGCAGGCGAGAGTTTATGCTAAGTCAATACAACAAGTTGAGATTAACAAGCAAAAACTAGTTCAAGCAAAGCAGCGTATATATGAAGCTGCATAAGTACAAACTAGTTGCAAAATGTTGCATAAATACTTAAACATAATTAAAATACATAATTTTTTTAACGTAAGAATATTCAGAATGAATTTTATATGATTATTTTATATGAAACGTAAAAAAGTTGGACATGCTTTTATTTCCAGCTTTATATCTTTTACAAAAGTTTCATAAATCAAAAAAAAATCTTTTTCTAATAAAAAGTTAAAAAAAAAAAGAGAGAAAAATCTTTAAAGCTTATAAATTTAAAACCATTTGTTTATTATTCTAAAATTAAAGAACGTGTCCCTTTTCGTTAATTTTCGTCGCATTGCATTTTAGTATTGGTTAAAGGGTAAACTTGCTTGCTTAAATGAGAGCGGGGTAATGAAGTTTATCAATGGTGACTTTAATAACAAGAAAAATTAAATGGTTTCAGAAATTGTTTAAAAAATTGCTAAAGAAGAAAATTCAGTATAAATGTTGACAAGTATACAATAGTTTGCCGCTGTTTGGAATAAATCTGCATTCTAGTGAAGATAATAAAAAATTGATCCGTGCAATGCTAAAGCAATGGATGAAAAAGCATCAAATCACTTAAAGAGTTTTTTAATTGAATTTGAAAATGATTCGGTAGGATCAACACAAGGTGGTGCGGCAATCAACAAAAAATATATGAAAATTGTCAAGATTATTAAACAGTATGGTATTAATCATACTTGGGAGTAATTGACGTTTTGTATAAGAAAAACGCTCGAATTAGATCAAATGAGTTATATTTGGACTAGATAAGGTTGACAATTTTAAAAATAATGACATCGATTTCTACTTTGTTTTGAAAAATGCACAAGATGTTGTTAAATATATCAGAAATTTTACCGTTGGAGATCAAAAGTCAAAAGTAACTTAAGCATTTGAATTACTTTTCACTTGAACTGCCAATGAACCAATTCAAAATTGCTATTGAAACACTGAGTCGTGAAAACGGTTTTGACAACTGATGCTGTTATTGGCTAGAAAAACTTTGGAATTTAAATAACAATATTTAAAAAAAGTTATATGAAAATCTCAAGAGGCAAACGAGTAAAAGATAATTTACTCGTTTAATCTTAGATGCTTAAAATTTTATTCACTAATAATGGAGTATATTAAGGAAATATAAAAATTTATTTATGTTTGTTATATAGTTTTGAAAATATTCAACTGAAAGGCTTTGTAGGCAGGAATTAAAGTTAGAGCACTTTTAAATTGAAATTAAATAAGCCTAATAGATTGATTTATATTTCTGAAAACGAGATTATAGTAATATTATAATATTAAGTTTTAACACATTGCTGTTTTACAATTTCAATTAAAAAACAGCGATACATAACTAGGTTAATTCTATTGCATTGAAGAAACCAGACGTTGAAGTGAATTGTTATCAATTTTGTTCCAAGCTTTTTAAACTGCTTGTTTAAACAGTTAGCTTGTTTGTTAATCCAAATTGTTTCCTAGAGGCGCAAGTCTTTCGAAAAATGATTCTCCCTCCCCCTCCAAGTTTTCAATGGATACAAGTAAAGGGATTTGGATGGTCAGTCTATTACTTTTATACTCATTTCTACTTTTTTGTAACTGATGAGTTATTAATGCTTTCGTTATCCTGCTTGAAAAAGAAGTCAACACTGTTCTTTAAATGAGCGAAGGGTAGCAAATACTCAGAAAGAGTATTGATGTACATTTCCAAATCTTGATTTCCCTCTAACTAGGTTAATTCTGATTTCTATTCCGTGCTAAAACCCCAAACCATTATGAATTCACCGTCGTACTGACTTTTGCAAAGAACTGCTTTTCTTGCCTTAAATTGTGTCAATAGCATTGTAGTCCATCCGGGCTGACCAAATTAAATTTTTTTTAATGTCCAAAAAGACGACTTTGCACAACAGCAGAAAAAACAGCATGTAACCTGGAATTGCCCCAGGTTACATGCTGTTTTTTCATTCCATTCAAGACGGTTCTGCTTATGGGTTTATAAGAGCATTGGTGAGGCCATACGCTTGCACTACTTAAAGTCTTCACAATTCTCGAGGATTTGCAGATCTGTTAAGAACCAACTTCAAGATTTAAGTCATGTTGAAGATGACTGTAACTTGATTTTCCTTTCAAAGTTTATCAGATCAGCAATCATTTTGCATTCGGAGTCAAAACCGACGGCCTTCCCATTGACTTCTCTGCTCCATAACCCTCCGGATTCTTAAATAAATCGGGAATAACCTTTCTTGATCTCTTTATTTCCTTATTATCTTTTCCATTGTAATTTAAATTGAAAACTTGCCTAAGTATAGTAATAATTATTGTTTAATTAGTAAAATATAAATATATAGCAATAAACTCTCGATTTTATTACCATTTGATAACACACTGACTTTTTAAGTCTGTCTTATTTTCTGCAGGATTTTGCAAACAAAAAAAAAAACGAAAATCTTTCAGAAATTTGGCTTTTTACAGCCTATTAGATATACAAAGAAGAGAATTGGACAAAATTGGTTGCTAAAACTAAAATTTTGTAGGGCAGGCTATCATTATTACCAGCACTGTATCTACTGAATATAATATATGAATATTTATGAACTAAACAAAAAACAAAAAAAAACAAAAAAAAAACTCACTTTTGTATCAATATAATCACACCATCCACTAAAATTGCTTTCAGAGCATATTTTGACTTCATTTTGGGGTGGGGTTATTACGGAGAACCCGCTAAGACTGATTATTTCATTTTCTTCACCTACTTGATTGATTATTTTGTTTTCCATACATATGTACTCTAGCATAAGAGGGCCTTTCATTCCTTGAAACGTTTCTAAATTAAATATGTATAAAATAATATTAAATAGCATATATTTTAATTCTTCACACAAAACTAATAATCTTTAAAAGATCTCCTAAAAATATAAACTAGTTAAGTTTAAAATTAATCTTAATAAAGCTTCTTTGTCAAACTAGACTTAATAATACTGGTAACTATATTATAAAAATATAATTAATTTTTAATTTTTATCTGGAGAAACTATATATATATATGTATATATATATATATATATATATATATATATATATATATATATATATATATATATATATATATATATATATATATATATACACACACACACACATATATATATATATATATATATATATATATATATATATATATATATATATATATATATATACATACATATATATATATATATATATATATATATATATATATATATATATATATATATATATATATATATATATATATATATATATATATATATATATATATATATATATATATATATATATATATATATATATATATATATATATATATATATATATATATATATATATATATATATATATATAGTCTTGCATGGTAGTCAGAAAGTTTTTCCTATAAACTGTAGTTTTAAAGAGTGCGTTAATAAAACAAAAGTATAAAAACTTGAATATATAAATATTTTTTCTTAAATAATATATTTCAATAAAACAACGACAAAAACACCATTTATTGATAAAACTTTCAAGTCATTATTATTGCATTTTTTTTTAAAAAACAATATAATTTAATGTACTTAATGCATTAATTTAATTGCTTTGATATTTCGATGTAGCAAAATTGTACCTGGCGAGTTATTAGTATCTGATGAGCAGTTGGTAGCCTATATTGGCATTTAGGCTACCAACTGCTCGTCAGGTACTTTTATGTTTTCTTGCACACTTTACCAAAAAATCTAAGAGAGATGCAAATGAAACAGTAAAATCAATTCTATCGTTTTATAATCGGGCAAGAATACAAATCAAATAAAATGGCAGAAGAAATTATGAAATTATTTGACGAGTTAAAAAATCTGTTAAAAACTGACCATGCCCATAGAAAAACTGACAAAAATACCCAAAAAATTATTGGATTTAAAGACAAGCTAACAAAAGCAATGAGGTTCTGGCTACGAGGTGTGCTAGATAAATTGGTCGATGCAGAGGATAAACAGTTTCTGAACATCTAAACATAGCTTTGTGGAAGAAAAATTTCATGACAGAAAATTTGCTGAAAAAGAAAGAATTCATAAATACAAAAAAACAGCAATCAAATATTTTGAGATATTCTAAGAACAATTTAATGGAGATAGGCAAAAGTTGTCTTGATCATGATGAACTTTTATGTATTAATGAAACTAAGCAGCGTTCTCACAAAAGAAGCGTGAAAATTAGCACAACTGTGTTTATACCACATAATAATCTGAAATCACCTGAAGTTATTTAAACAGCTGTTAGGAACAAGGTTACACCTACTGCACTCAGTTCTTTATTCCACTCAATAATTTGTGCCATCTCTGGTGATTCTTCTAGAGTTGACTTGAGCTACACAACAGCATATAGGTATATAGGGGAAGTGGGTGCATGGCCGCCCCTGTAACGCTTGGATTGATATTATATGAAAATAAAAGCAAAATGTGTCTTTTTAACAGTTTATTTAAACAACTACATTATTAAGCTTTAAATTGATGCAACTGAAAAAAAAAAAAATGGTTTTTAAAAATTGCACTGTAACAAAAATTGTTGAAGGTACAATTTTCATGGTACTTTTACAAATAACAATATATACAATCAAGATTATATATATTTTTGTTTGTAATTATCTAACTTTGATAAATATCAAAAGTATGTGGTTGTGCCTCCTGTGTGTCTATGCAGTTTAGCCCCAGAAGAGAGTTTTTAGAAAGAATACAGTTTCATAGCTTGCTTTTTAGATTATGTTGATATCAAAAATGGTTTTCACTTGATGAAATAATGCTAATAACACATATCTTTAACACTAAAATCAAATATTGCTTAATCCTCAAAAGAAAGGTTTGGAAAAATATATATTAGAATAGAAATTTCTTGTTTTGTTTGAAATATGACTTTCTATTGTAATAAAAAATTTAAACTTTAAATTTTTGGTTAATTTTACTTTGGATCTAAAAAGTATAATTGAATCATCAATATATTTACTTTTGCATTTTTTACTTTAAACCCTTTAGGAACAAAATGGAATCCAGGCAATTGCTGCCAAGATAAAGAGCTCCTGGAAACCTTTAAACGTTGGTGTAATTCATTGGGATAGCAAGTTAATGGATACACTTGACAACAAAAATGTTAGAGAAGAAAGGCTTCCTATTCTTCTTTCAGGCAGCTATAAAATAAAACTTGGGCGAACCAATTCATGTAACATTAGTAACTAATGAACAATTTACATATTAGCAAGTCAATATACTTCTTACTAAGTCAGTTAATTGGTTCTATTTCAAAAATATATATTTTTAGGTTGTTCAGGTGTAAAATTACTGAGTGTACCAGCGCTGCCATATAAGTTCATTATTAGAGAATAAAGTTATTGATTTATCTATTGCTAATACTGCTCTGAAAGCTTTCGACAATCACATGTGGTATCTCACTGAGGAGTTAGCTCAACTGTCTCTATTTAAAAATAAATTAGAGAACAAGCAGAGGCAAAAGATTGCAAATAAAAAACTAACTAATTAAGTGACATTGAATGAAATAACTTCAAAAAGAAAAGGGTCAGGGTTTGGTAAACTTATGTTTCTAATGATTCCTAAAATGACTGTGAATGATTGGACTAAATTTATTGGTGAAGATTCCCCATATTAAATTTCACCATATTAAATATAAATAGAAGTTTTCTCGGGTAAATGGTTACAGAATGGGAAAACTTTCTAGCTTCAAAAAATATGGTTTCTAGTTTATGTATTGTAAACAATTCTGCTCAACGTGGAGTAAAGCTTTGTAGTGACTTTGCGGAAACTGCTAAGAAAGAAAATAAGTTCAAGAAAATTATACAAGCTGTAGAAAACAACACAAATATTTTGCCCAACCAAAGGAAAAACCACTTAGAACCAATCAGATGGTATATTAAATTCAGATCGGATTGTTTATTTTTTCAAATTTTTATTTAATAGAGTTACTTTTTTATGTTGTTACACATGTAAATGTTAATATAACATTTGGTTTATTGTTAATATTTAAACTTTATTTTATATTTTAAACTTAGTATCAAAATCTTTGACTTATTAAGCATTTAAATACACACAAAAACAACCATTTCACTAGACACCATTTCACCAATAGCGAAGATTTCTAACTGAAATATATATATATATATATATATATATATATATATATTAGTGATGTACCGATTAATTGGTATCGGCATCAGCATCGGCCATTTTTTACACAATCGGTATCGGTATCGGCATTGGCCTTTTTTACCGATTTTCCAACCGATGGCATTTTGACATTTTTATTCTGCATTATTTTTTTATGCATTATTATAATAATTAAATAATAAACAAACTAAACTTTGTGCATTACTTAGAATTTTTTGGATAAATTTTTATTTTGACTTTGTTTACAGGCAAAAGCTTTAAAAGTAACCTATTTAAGCATTGTTATCTATATATTTTTAATTCTTTTTCACTCCCAATAAGGTTTCAAGCAACCACTATCAAGTTGGGAGTTGCTAGAAAAAAAGAGTAGAGTTATAGAGCAATGAAGTGGTTGACAGAAGATTTAAAAAGTTGAAGGTTGTATGAGTCAGGAAAACATGAAGATGGGGCAGAGTTCCAAAGGGTTGAAGTGGGTGGAAATAAGCTAGACAAATAAACGTTTTTGGAGCATGAAGAGACAGATACAGTCGAAGAATGAGACTTTAATGTCAAGTCAAGCAAGAATGAGTTTTGATTGATGGAACTAAAGATGAAAGCTTCTTTGAGCAGCAAAGATGAAAGCACCTTTGAGCAGCAACCATGATAATATTTTAATACTTTACGATGATGGCAAAGAGGCTCAAGCTTTTCAGATAAACCGGGTTCAACTCTGTTTACAATGCTTTTTTAAGCCTTACCTTGAAGAGAAAGAGCATCATTAGAAGAACCAGCCCAAATATGATAACAGTATTCCATACAGGGATGAATAAGAGATTTGTAGAGGTAGGGCATGGAATCAGGAGAGAGAAAATGGTCAGCATGATAAAAAGAAGCAACCTTAGCAGATAATTTAGCAATCGATTGTATATATGGTTTCCATGAAAAGTCAGTAGTAAATGATAATCCAAGAAGACGTAAAGAAGTGGAATCAGTGAGAGGGTTGCCATTTATCAATAGAGGAATGTCGACAGTACTACAATAGTTATTTGTCTGACAGTAAGTTATTTGACTCAAGATGGAATGTGAGAAATTTGTTTATCAAACACTCTAAAACCTTGCTAATAACAGAAAGAAGATTGATTGGACAATAATCGGAGGGGTCAGTAAGTTTACCAGAGTGTTTAAAAATTAGAACAACAGATGCCATTTTCCAGCAGGCAGGAAAACAAGATTCAGTCAAGCACTTATTAAACAGTTTAGAGAAAATTGAAGAGAGTTCTGGAGAACAATTTTGTAAGACTGTGACAGGAATGTTGTCTGGACCACAAGCCATAGAAGAGTTTAATCAAGATATGACTATGAGTAATGGAAGCTGAAATGATTCAAATGTCTAACATTAGGTTAACTTGTTTAATTAGAATGAAAAGAAGAAAATGGCCATAAGATTCCAAAAGCCAGATTAAAAGAGAATTTTTTTGCAAATAGTTCAGCCTTATTTCATGAATTTAAGTATAGCCAAGTATCAAGTATATTTCTGAATTTATAATTTTTTTATTTCAATTCACCTCCCTTCAATTGAAGATTCTACTTTAGTTATGGTTACAACCCATTTTCAACTTTAGAACTCAGAAACACAAACCTTGATGAACAATGCCGCTGC